AGTGGTACTCAGAGCTTACTCCTGGCCCTATGTTTAGGGTTCACTTCTTACAGGTTCAGGAGTTCTTATGGGGTGCCAGGAATCAAAGGCAAGTGCCCTACAAGATGCACTGTCTGTCTGGTTCCTCAACTTCTTCTTTGACACTTTGAAATTACTTCTCAGTCTGTGAATTTTAGGTACTTATAAATGTTAGAATACACTGGACTTTGAAATTACTTCTTTAAAAACCTATATAAGGAAACCTGAGAGCTGTTACAGGTAGATTGTTCTGCTCCTAGGCTGCCCTTGCAGCCCCCAGAAGTCTCAGAAGTCCCCACAGTCTCAGAAGAAGCCATGACCATCCCCCCACCCCCAATCCTGAGGCATTTGCAAGACACCTTACCTGTTTCTTCTAATATGTCTGCACCCTTTGTTTCTGGTTGTCCCATCTGTTTGATGGTCCTCTAAGCCAGGTCACTGACCAGTTTTCCCAAACACAGTAATTACCCCGAGACTGGCAAAGAATTGGTTGGATGAATGAATCCTAGAAATGTCATCATTCTCCTTCAATACACTCCTTAAAGTTAAGTCCTAAAACAGTAATTGATTTTGTCCTTGGTGAGTTCTTCCTGGACCCCCTCCCTGGCACTCTCCCAGGATTTCATGATATTAACTGGGTTTTTATCTTTGATTTCATTCTTTACCTCAAACTAAACTTGAACTTTCCAGAATAACTCGCTTTGTTTCTGTTTTAAAGCGTAATGCCCATCCTGCTTTGTTTCTTCCTCCACCTTATGGTGCTACTTTCCTCCCTGGCTCTTCATGTTTCTGCAGTAGAAAACCAGCATGTTTTCACCTTAGAACGAGTTTCCCCTCCCCCTCGAGTGTATGTCATCAGGGCCCGCTGGCTTGTGTGGCTTCACATTTTTCAAGTGTTCCCTTTAGTGCTTTTTATAGATGCCTATTTTTACTAGATCATCATTGCTTCTTAATTGTTCTCAAATCTTTTTTTTTATTGTTGTTCAAGACATATTTAAAATAGCAGAGTGGCACCAAGCTTTCTGGTAATCGTTTTGAATCGCATCCCTTTCTCGTGTATTAATGAGATCACCACTTTCCCTGGATGCCATTTGCTTTGCAACATATATTCTCAAAATGCCCAGGTATTTTTTCTTCGCGGAAGATTCTGGAAGCTCACTTTGGTCAGGGCCAGAGTGATAGTACAGCAGGGAGGGCATTTGCCTTGCACATGGTTGACCCAGGTTCAATCTCCAGCAACCCATATCATCCCCCAAGCACTGCCAGGACTCGATCCTGAGTGCGGAGCCAGGAATAACTCCTGAGCATCACCAAGTGTGACCAAAAAAGCCAATTTTTTTTTTAAAAAACACATCACTTTGGCCACCTTCACCTTCTTTCTGCCTTTTCAGGAATCGAGTAAGGGAGTGCTGCTGAACAGACAGTCACCATGCAATGACAAATAGCATCTTAATTGTGCTATCAAGAAAAATATGAGCAGAAGAAATGCAAATTTCCTCTTTACTTTTTCACGTTCTCTTTTGTCTCCTACTTCATTTCATTTCAACCCTTTTGTCATTTTTCTCAACAGATCACTCTCGAAACATTGCTAGAACAGGTGAGAAGCCATGGAGCTTATGGCCCCTTTTCCTTCTTGGTTTCTCAGTCCCCCAACTCAATGTTTAAGGGGTTTGTTAGTTACCTTTTTATGAATTCAGTAGGTACTCGATTCACTTTTTATTGTTCTGCAGTTATTTTATTTGAGGGTCTCCCATATGGTGCACAGGATACTGGGGGCACCTCTGGTGATTTTCACATGCTCAAAAATCCCCAGTCTGGGATTTCAATGCAAGAGCCTGAGTGTGCAGTCCTGTGCTGGCCTTGTTGTGTTGGGAACCAGCTGGGTCATCACAGTGTGCTTAGGTTTCCAGTACACCCCCTGTGCATTTTGGGGCCCTTCAGAGCCACACATGGCAATGCTGGGGGGACTATGTTGTGCTGGGAATCAGTGGCATCATCAGTTTGGAGGGCATATGCAATAACTGTCTGAAATAGCCCCTTTCTTGCACGTTTTATTGCCTCCTATTTTAAAAACTCACATGAAAATATCAAAGAATTTAAAATTTCATAAATCACAAAACCACTAGAGATCATCTGTTTGGTTGGATCCCCCCTGGACACCCTCTGTGCAGTAAGAAGATGATGTGGATATTGTCATTCTCTGCAACAGTTCAGGAACCAGTGATGGAATTTTATGCTGGGTCATGAACAGAGTCACTCACCTCCTGTAAGCCAAGAATAAGTCCAGAAACAGCATGATTCACAGTAACCCAAACCCGGAGACAATCTCAATAGTCACTCACTGGCAAGAGTCTAACTCTATGATGAATAATACTGCTCAGCAGTGAAGAAGAACATCTGGACTGATCTTTGCAAGATCATGATTGGACCTCAAAAACATTTTGCTGCATTAAAGAACATGGACACAGAAAACCACATATTGTATGCTTCCATTTATAGGAAATTTCCAGAAAATCCACACTATGGAGACAGAAAGCTGACCAACTTTCGAGGGTTGGGAATAGGAGCAGAGGGAGATTGTGAACAGACCTGGATTCCTGGAATTTAGGAGGGTAATGGAAGTGTTTCCAAATGGATTGTTGTACAACTATATAAATTTGCTAAATGACTGAGCTACATTTTTATAGTGATGAATTGTAAGGCATGTAAATTGTGTCTTAAGAAAGCCATTAAGGAGAGAAAAAGAAAAGGAGGAAAAAAGCAAGAAGGTACAAAGCCAGGATATGTTTTCAAACATACTGTTCAGTTCCATTCTCCTACAAAATATCTCTAAGCTAAAGACTAATATTTCTCCTCCTGTCTTCCTGTTGGGGGTGAATAGTTCAAATTTGGAGTCATAAACTCTCAGTTTATGACTCTCAGTTTATGTTTCTCAAACAGTCAAGCAATTAATACTCTTTAATATGAAGATGCTGGAGACATGTATGTATTTTGATATAGACTAAACATGTATTTATTTTGATATAGACTAAACAAATAAAGAACCTGGGCTGAAGAATTGCAAGCAAATTATTTCTCTGGGGACATATTTTAACTGTTGTTAAAGGGAATTACTTGTTAGAACTAAGATCTATTCTGTTTATTACTGCTACTTTCTACAAGTAGGTGACAATGTCCTGACATCTTTCTTAAATTTCATAAATGTCTTTCTTAAATTTCACACTATTACCTGTCACAGCTGGAGCCAAGACTTTTTTTTAATATTTTAACATAATAGAAATTCTTAGATCAATAACGTCTTATTTAAAGTTGCCAGTGATTGGGGCTGGAGCAATAGCACAGTGGGAAGGGTGTTTGCCTTGCACGTGGCTGACCCAGGTTCGATTCCCAGCATCCCATATGGTCCCCTGAGCACTGCCAGGGGTAATTCCTGAGTGCAGAACCAGGAGTAACTCCTGTGCTTCTCCGGGTGTGACCCCAAAAGCAATAATAATGATAATAATAATAATATAATAATAAAGTTGCCAGTGATCACTGCGCTAAAATGATAAAATACTTCTTACCTCATTAATCTTCTAGTAGCTGTTCCTAGCATTTGGAGTGAGCCGGTAGCACTGTGTATAAATAGCCACACCAGATATGTTACACTGTCTGATTCTCCCTGTGTTCCACTACCTCTCTGTCTTGATTAGAGATTAGAAGCTCACAATTCTTCCCTGAAAAGTGTAATGCTAGAGAGCAAAGGTCAGGGCTGTGAAAGTCTACATAACCGTGCTTAAAATACTCCACTATCTGTGCTTGGAAATTGCGATCAATATTACTCCTAATACTTTCCCCTATAATCAAAAATGTATTTCTTTATCCTTCCTCTAGACAAGGAAGTAATAAGTCTTCTACTAAAGGGTGACTTGGAACCCTGGTACTGTATCAAGTGATAAGTGATGGACCCACAAGTGGCCAATAAGGCTCTTGGAAGCAATATGTTGACTTCCTATAAGGAAAGAGACTTTCATATAACTCTCACTATCGACTTTGGTGTTTTAATGGACTATCTGCTGTTCTTTGCTATTAGTAAAGAAATTGTTGGTGCCTGTCATTTGCTTCATCCTTATATTTTGATTGGTCATTTAACTATTATTCTGACTTGTCACAACAGAGTAGGCTATAACCCTACCAAATTTGAAGCCAATTTGAGCTTAAAGACAGTTTCACGAGATCAGAGAGATAATACAGACTGCACTTGACTGACTTGGATTTGATCCCCAGTACCCCAGAGCCCTGGGCCCCACCAGGAGTAATCCCTACTTAGCACAGAGCCAGGAGTAGGTCCTGAGCACTGCCAGATATGGAAAGAAAGAAAGAAAGAAAGAAAGAAAGAAAGAAAGAAAGAAAGAAAGAAAGAAAGAGAGAGAGAGAGAAAGAATGAGAGAAAGAGAGAAAGAGGGAGGGAGGGAGGGAGCAAGGGGAGGGGAGGGGAGGGGAGGGGAGGGGAGGGAAGGGAAGGGGAGGGGAGGGGAGGGGAGGGGAGGGAAGGGAAGGAAAGGGAAGGGAAAGAGGAAGGAAGGAAGAAAGGAAGGAAGGAAGGAAGGAAGGAAGGGAGGGAGGGAGGGAGGGAGAGAGGGAGGGAGGGAGGGAGAGAGGGAGGGAGGGAGGGAGGGAGGGAAGGGAAAGAAAAGCGAGGGAGGGAGGGAAGGAAGGATCGAGGGAGGGAGGACAGAATTACACAATGAGTCGAAGTTATTAACTTTCTAAATTGATGGCAAGATAACATGTACACATAACTCCATAATTGTTTAATTTATATGAAATGAGGAACTAATGAATGCATTACTGTTGATATGGTTGTTTTGTTTAACCTGGCTACTTTATCTTTTCACTCTAATCTCTAAATTCTGTTTCTTGTCTCTGCCCATCCCTCTCCCCCACACCCCCCCCCCCACCGCCTCCCACCAACTCCTTATGCTTTCCCTTGGTCATTTGAGATGTTCCAGCAGAAGATGATCCTTCCCCTTGTGCTCTGGAATCAGGCCACGGGCGGCAGTGCCAAAACGGCACTGTGTGTAAGCCCGGGTGGGATGGGCCCAAGCACGGCATCACCAACTTTGACAATTTTGCCTTCGCCATGTTGACCGTGTTCCAGTGCATCACCATGGAGGGCTGGACTGACGTGCTATACTGGGTACGTAGCCCGAGATGGGGCCAGGCTGGGAATCCAGGCAGCAGCAGGATGAATCTCCAGTTCCATCCTCCCCATGATTTAGGGGTCATACACACAGCTCAGAATGTTTGATGAGTGACTTTGATTTCTTCCAGGTCTTTCGTGAGAAACAAAGTTTGAACTCCTCACCTTCATGAAGGCCCACCAGCCCAAGGGAAATGTAGTTTTCATTTGGCCTCCCATAATGGGAAACAGTGGGAAGCTGTGTTGCTCCGTGAGTGAGTTGGTCAAGCCTGACATAAGGAGCTCCACAGCTCTTCTCATTATAGAGTTCTCATCCTCTTTCTGGCTCTGTCCCGGAAAAGAGAGCTAGAGAGCATAGTTATTCGTTTGAAGACTAAAGAGAATCTTAAACAGAGAGTATTCAAGCCAGAATTTTTATTGAATTGTGTAGCAGTATGGGATGCTTTTATATTTTTATTTCTCATATTATCCTTTCCTTATCATTTTGAAATAGGGTAGTAGACTATTTTCACAGCAAACAAAATATTCACTCTTTGGTTGATTGGTGTTGACCAATCAACAGTCAATCTTCCTTTTACTGTAAAGATACCCTTTCTATTTTGCAGCCGCCACTGCTATATTGCCAATTTCAAGATGTTGAAGTGCCATATTTTTATACAGCCTATCCCAAAGGCAAATACTCACACCATATTTGAGCTGTCGCCATTCTGGAAGTGTTGACTCTATTATTTGTAAAAACTCCAGAAAACATAATTCTTTGTAGAATCTCCCACTTCCTCATAAGAAATAACTTGCCAGATTCTCCAGCATTTGGACAAAAAAATTGCCTGTTTCCAGTCTTGAAAATGCCTTCTCGTCCAAAGTTTTGCAAATAGTCAAATATATTTGGCCATCCTGAAAACCATCTAAGCGTCTGCTTAGGGAACAGTGTCTATGCTTGAAGACAAGGAGTGAGAGGAAGGGAATGCCATCCACGAGCAGGGCTGCCAGATAGACTGGCACTAATGCCAAGGCAGGTGTTGACTTTATCCTGAATCAGAAGGAAGAGTTTTGTAACAGCAGAGTTGTGATACAGGGTATTGTATCCTCCCTGTCTCTTTTTATATAAGCACTGTGTCCTATAGATTCAAAAAAAACCCTTTCCCTTGGTTTTAATGTAGACTCAATGTACTTAAGCCCTGTGTTGCTACAAAACTCCCATTTCTCTGCAAATAACTACTTGAAACTTGCCTGAGTACCTTGTACCCAGTAAACATTTATTGAGCATGGCTTGCATGCTAGTGGTGTTCCAAGGTACTGAAGATTCAGACATAAATAACAGGTAGTTCAGACTGAAAAGCAAAGGTCAGTCTAGGGAACAATACTAAATTCTAAACTGCACAGTGGTGGGAGACCTGGTGCTCTGGCCATGGCCCATGTTGTGATACTTATGGAAGAAGACAAATCACCCCTCTGTCACCTGAAATGAAACATCAGAAAAATGTTTCTCAAGTCTCTGATTTATAAGAATTTGGTTTTGAATAATTGGTAAGAAAAAGAGACAGTTTTTGGTGTAATATATACATGCCTTTAATTTAGCAGCACAGATCAAGTTCCCAAGGACCCCAACCATCCCTAAGCCATTCGGTGGATCTCTCTGGCTAGCCAAGAGGAGAACATCATTCCACAAATAGACAGTGTCCGCCTGTGGATCACAGCATGTTTGATTTTATGGAGCTGTGCTTTGGGGCCTTATCGCATGTGCTTCAAACCCATGGCTTAAGTTGCTATGGTAATGCCTACCATGGCATCACATTGAGAGGAGGGTGACAGTGGGTGGGTGTGGGGTTGTAGGAATAGGTATAATTACTTTGCTGATGGCCCCAATGTATTTTTGTGATCTTCACTCATCATCCTCCACCCTCTCTCCTCCACCACAAGTCATTGATACTTCAGCAACCAGATGTGGCCCAAAGAAATAGTGTCATGATGACAGCAAGAGTGGGGAAGAAGAAGAACAACCCAACTGCAACCACCAATTTTCAGCAGCTGTGTTGTGCTTTCTCCCCTGGGGTGTGTGTGATAGAGCTCAGGCTGGGAATGGAAAAAGTGTCAGAGGTGAAGCAACAATCCCAGGCTCATGGGACATACTTCTGATTTTTCCAGCATCTTTTTGAAGCGACCATATTCTTTGGGTGTGTTTGTGTGGCGTGTGTGTGTGTGTGTGTGTGTGTGTGTGTGTGTGTGTGCATACGCACGACCACACTCACTCGTGTGTGGGCACATATGCCTACAACAAACACTGGTCTCTAACTTGGGTATTTAGGATAGAAACGCCTCCCAGCCCAAAGCTCCTGCTTTCAGACCTAATTTTCTAATTGCTTTGACCTTTCTATGGCCATTTCTTCCTTCCTCCATCTCTTTCTTTCTCCTCCTTCCTTATTCCTCCCCCTAGTCTCGTGACCTGTATTTCAAGATCCAGAGAATTTAAAATTAGTTAGCAGAAAACATGGAACTTTCTAAATTTAGGTGGCCAGATCTCCCTCCAGTACCTAGGCTTGTCAAGTGTTCCCCTAAGTGATCTTACTGTCCAGGCTAGTTTGTAAACTCCTAGAAATCTAACTTATGGTGTGCATGGTGCTGCTTTGATACCACTGGATTCTGTTCAGTCTAAGAGAGGAAGTTTCCAGGGGAATTGTGGGGAAGCAAGGTCTTCCAGTCAGAAGAATGAATTCTCTTCAAGTCCAAGAAGCAGTGCTGAGGACATGAGAAAGAGCAACCAAGACATTCAAGTATAAATATGATTGAAAACCCCAGTGCTATACTCACTTTGAGCCACCAAGTAGGTGATTAGTTGTCTCTGAGAGACACTAAAGTCACTAAAGACACAAGATAGAGCTTGGGATGGCAGGAACCAAGATTGTTGGTGGCAAGTTGTAGACACCTATCACCAACTTGGAATAATATTTAGTGAGCTTTTCCTTTTCCTGAAATTGATCATTCTAATCCATTGTTATAATTTTGAAGAGTTAGTTGGTTCAAAATAAAATCAAACTTGGTCAAATAATACTTGAATAAATTGCTTCAGGTCTGAAAGCCATTGGCTATAAATTTAGCTGAGGTCCAAACTAGTTGAACAATTTATTAAAAAATACCTCCTTAATTTGTTATAAAAGTCTTTAGTTGATAGAGTAAAGGGGGTAGGAAACAATGGGGGTCTAGACAATAAGCCAACACTTAGGTTTGGGTTCTGGTTTCCTTGGGAAATTACTTCTTAAGTCAAACCCTTTCCTTCTACTCTCAAGTCTCTGTGTCATTTTTTTCCCTTATTGAGTCACACCTGGCGATGCACGGGGGTTACTCCTGGCTCTGCACTCAGGAATCACTCCTGGCGGTGCTCAGGGGACCATATGGGATACTGTGAATCGAACCCAGGTTGGCCACGTGCAAGGCAGATGCCCTACCTGCTGTGCTATTGCACCAGCCCCAGTCTGTGTCCTTTTTATAACAAAAAGGGGACTGTGGCAATGGGGAAGTTGCAGCCTTTTTTAGATGCACTTAACAGTAAAAAGGAAGAATCCATTGTGTTAGACATTACCATCTTTTTCTAGTGCTTCTTTCAGGTTTATATATTTGGATTTTTTCCCACTGTGTATCTCTGCCCTTTTGTGTGTATTTCAAGATCACTTGTATAGTTTAGGCATGTGCATTCCCAAGAAGATACTGACTCCAGGTGACTGTGGAATTTTCAGACATCATCTGGGAATGTTGTCCTTTGAAACTTTGACCATTCTTCCTTCCACATGATAGTCAGATCACTTAAATATCAACCAATGAAGTATCTATTCAGTGCTTTCTTTGTACTCAGCCCTTGAGATAACCCACGCTTATAAGAAATGGAATATCACGGCCATTAAACCTGGCTTTAGAATAGCTGGAGAAGGTCACATGTGAATTGTGGGTACAAAGGGCAGTAGTTAGACCAGGTGCCTGAAGGAGCACATGCAACAAGTTCTCGAGGAGTCTAGGTGCCTATCTGACCCTTCATCAAGAGACTGCTGTGAACCTCTGCTCAGCCCTGACGATGTCTTTCTGTTTTGGAGCCTGAGAATGCTGCATGCTGTATAGCCCAGCATAGAACTCTGCTCTGTCTTAGAGAATCAAACTCTTCCCTTTCATTCACCAGCACAGCAGACTGTCCTTCTTACTGAGAGTACCACCCATTGTGCTCCAATTGGAATTTCCATGATTGATTTTTCTATTGATCAAAAAGATCAGAAATTGAGTTTTAAAATAATGAACACTTAATGAGAAATCACACAAAGGAAGAATATTTTTTCTTTTTGGGTCACACCTTGCAATGCTCAGGAGTTACTCCGGTGCTGCCGTCAGGAATCACTCCTGGCAGTGCTCAGAGGACCATATGGGATGCTAGGAATCGAACCTGGGTTGGCCGCATGCAGGGCAAATGCCCTACCTGCTGTGCTATCACTCCAGCCCCAAAGGAAGAATATTTAGAATAACAACTAGTGTCTTTTGTAGTGTTTGGATTAGTTTTGTTCTATAGAAAACCTTGGGAGAAAAATTTCAATAGTTAAGCACTTATTAGTTAGTTGTCAGCACTACACTTGGTCTTGCTCTCAGTTATATGTCCCAGGACGATAGTCCTACTAAACTTACGCATGCTCACACACACATACCATAGCCATTACTATTGTGGCACTGTGGAATATTTTTTATGGCAAAGATCTTTTGCATCCAGGAAGACTGAATTCAGGTGTTTTAGTCTATTTTTCTTGCTCTCTCTTGTCTTCAGATCTTTTTTATTACAGATTATAAAAATATTAATTTCTGTATGCATCAAGAAAACAGAAATGGTGGGGTGGAATTTTATTGAAAAGATCCTTAAGGGATCTGGAAACAAGCTTGTGGGTTATTCATCAGTATCAAGAGAAAGACAATATTAGATCCACCTTAGGACCCCGTCGCTCTTCAATCTGCATCTTTTAGAGGTTTAC